ACTGATCATGAGGCTATGACCTGTAAGAGAGAGAGAGAAAACAGATTTACGCATGTAACTATTACTTAAATTTAAGATGAGTAGTTAAAAGGGAAAAGAAAACTATTGCATAAATTAAGATGATCTTAACTCTCTCATGCACGATGCTTGTGCATAACCCTTATCGTGAATCTTACTCTCTTTTTTCGGCTAGTCATGGGCTCCCATTCCAACGCTTACGTGAGGACTCGAGCCCAAGAGCTTGCCGAGGTTATGGAAAGGTTATCCCTCGTCCAACGGCCCAACTGGGAGATTATGGAAAGGTTATCACTCGTCCAGCGGCCCAATTAGACCGGCTTAGCCTTTACTTTAGCGAAACTGGAAATGGGCCTGCTAGTGTATGATCGATCGTGGCTGATGATGCGACAAAGCAACACGGAGAGAGATGCGAGATTTGCGCGAGTTTCTGCCGTAAGAACATTTCCAATTCAGATTCTCTTTTCAAATTTTTTCTTTAAATTGAAATCACTTTATTATGAAACTATTTGGCTAGCTTGTTGCATTCTTAAAATTAGAACCAGACTTAGGAGAAATCAGGTTTTAGTTGTTTTTCTATCTAGACCAGTCAAAACCGAGAATTGGTCCCAAATAATTCTCTAGGAAACATTTCTCTCTTTATGACGTGTAACAGATATTCTAATGCTTTAACTGAGAATCTAAAATATTTCTCTGCCAAACAAATTTTATTTATTTAAGAGAAAAGAATAAGACGAGAGATGCAGACCGAGGAGAGAACACGCCCTTTTCCCGCGTCAGCAGGTTCTCTTGCTGGGCCAGATGCTCCAAGCCGCACAAAATATCTCGCTGCTGAGCTCAGATTCGCGAATGTGGTCCCGCTTTTTGGATACTCAAATTGTTACGGCAACCCCACGATCATTGCCCTATTCGTCTGGCTGGAAAACCGACTGCTACTGAAGTTGATGCTGATTTGTTGTAAGAGAAAAATATTATTATTTTACTGAAACGGTACGGCGAACCGGGCCCATAGCTCCATGCTTACTTTTATTTTTTCCCATTAGATTAGATCTGCATGAATAATCCAGTAGATATACTTAGATGAGTATTCAGGTTACAAACTCTAACCAGCGTTTTTCTAGTAAGTATTTTTTTATGGAACAAAAACTTTATTAATAACTAAGGAGTATCATTACAGGTAAGAGACAAAACAAACTCAGAAAAAAGAAGCAAGAAAGACCTCACTACGACCCGACCTAATTGCAAAATGAGTAAAATGAGCAAGTTGATGCGCTACATATTTTGACTCCTACCAATTTTAACGATGTCTAAACTATTCAACTCCTCCATAGCAATCTGCGCTTCACGCACCAGAGACCAGTCCACCGAGCGGTCTTGATCAGTGTTCTTTAACTTTGCAGCCACCACAGCACAATCAGTTTCCAACACCATATGAGTCTCCCGCCACCGCGCAACAAGTGTAATCCCTTCGCGGCATGCAGCAACTTCTGCCTCCTCAGCATCCCTGCAATATGAAAGCACACACCATGATGCCAATTTTGCTTGACCTGCATGTTCTCTGATCACCACACCCACAGCAGCGGCCCCGAGCTAGGGATGAAGGCGCCATCAACATTAATCTTCAAGAAACCCGGCGGCGGAGGGCTCCATTGTTTCTGAATCTGTCGATCAGCTGCAGAGGGACGCATGTTCCCCACAAGTGCACACTGCTTTCCCATAGTATCATGTTGCGAGCTTCCCTGACGGCATTGTAGAAGAGAGTCCATGTATCGTGTCAAGAAAACGATGGACCCCTCCACAAAAAACTTTTGTCCAGCGCGCAGGACGCTGTTGCGTACACTCCAAACCCTCCATAAAAGCATAAGCAAGTTTGCATTCACCTCTGCCGTTAATCTGCTCATGAGGACTAACAACCAATCGGGTCCAGTAAACACTAGGTCCACCTCAGCCGGCAGCGCCCAATGCTCTCTCATAGCGTGACGCAGGGCAACGACGTGAGGGCATTGCACACAAGCATGGAAACAATCTTCACTCCAGTGACTGCACATCTCACAGGTAGCTTGCGGAGCAATATGTCGATAACACTTATTAGCTTGAGTAGCAATTTTCCACGCGAAAACTTTGACTTTTTCAGGGACATTAAGAGACCATAAGGTCTTCCACACCTTTCTCCCATCAGCAGGGGTAGAACTGCCGTCGATCTCCCCTTCACCATGCTCGCTTCTCATAGCTAATCTGTATGTCTTTTCAAAATTCTAAGCCACCTGATCCAAACAAGCATTGCGGGGAATTTTAATCTTCAGTATTTCCTCGACATCACATGCATAGAAATATCTCCTCACCAGCATTTCATCCCATGATCCAAATTGAGCATCAATCAAATGAGAAACCCATTTCAACCTGCAGTGCCGAACACTTCCCACATGTTTTCACCCCATGTTCTCTGGGATCTATACATTTGTAGATTTTTTTTGAAAAACTTATACATTTGTAGATTAGTGTGAAGGGGTAGAACGTATCAAACAATATTTATAAACATATTAATATTTAATAAATAATATTAACATATGTTGCTCAAATTGAACAAGTATGTAAAAAAGAGTCGATTTTATTGGCATTGGACAACGCCAAACTTCTTTGAACAGTCTAGTAAAAATTGAAACCTCGTGTCGCCAAAACTCCCATTCGCTAGGCTGCCATTCTTTTTTCTAGCCTCACTTCAAACTATGCAAGATCAAATACGCTTCTTTATTGCTTTTTTCTTGGGGAGTAAGAAGAGAGGTTTTGTGCCCTTGGATTTTCATTGAAAACCGGGGGGGGGGGGGGGGTCAGAGGTTGTGATCAAAGGAGTGTGATGGGAATTGCATGCATTCAAAAATAACCTCTATTTGTGGATGTGGATCATCATTTTTGTCACTAAGAGCATCTCCAAAAGTTTCCTAAATTTTCTTCCTAAAAACACCATGTTTTCCAACTCCTGAAAAGATATTGGGAGAAAAAAATAAGTCCATCTCCAATAGTTCCCAATATTCCACTCAAAAAAATTTAAAATTTGGTACCACTTGGATTTTTTCAGCGAGAAGAAGCTGAAGCACACAGCCGGACGACGACGCGAGAAGAAGCTGAAGCACACAACCGCCGCGAGGTTGGTGCCGGTAGCTCAACCCTCCTCACCTCACTCACCCTCCTCTCCTCTCCTCTACGAACCCAGCCGAGCCGAGCACCTTCTCCCCGACCACGTACCACCACCACCACCTGTGCGTGCGCCCTTTATACCTTTCGGCACCACGGCCATCTCCGATGGAGGCGACGATGGTGATGTCGCAGGGCAGCGGCGGCAAGGACAACAGCGGCGGCCGCCGCGCCGGAGGCAATCAGATCGCATCGAGACCGTGGCGCTGTCAGACGTCGTTTCCCCGCTTTCGGGCGTGCTTCATCTCGTGGTCGCGTCCGCCGCCGGGCCGGGGAAGGAGGAGGACTAGAGGTTGCTGCTGCGCGGCATCACGTGCGAGGCGCCGCCGGGGGAGCTGGTGGCGATCGTGGGGTCGAGCGGCGCGGGCAAGACGACGCTGCTGTCGGTGCTGGCCGGGTCGGCGGACCCGGCAAGGGCGGCGGGCGGGGAGGTTCCGCCGCGTGTCGGGGTACGTGACGCAGGACGACGTGCTGTTCCCGGTGCTCACAGCTGCGGCGGCCGCGTAGTTTTACGCGGACGAAGGGGATTTTTCCAACTTCTAAAATATTAGGAGGTTGTATTAGAAGTTGTTGGAGATGGATTTTTCACTTCTTTCTAAAAACCAAGGATTAGGAGAAGGTTTAAGGAACTCTTGGAGATGCTCTAAGGTTACAAGGTAATATATGGGAACAAATGCTTGGCAAATAACTCGTCGAATGAATAACAGCTAATTAGGAAAGATATAATTGTTTTTCAATCCCAAACAAACAAGAGGTTGCATCATGCATGTGTTAAGGATTGTGTCCATAACCCAAATATAAATCTACAGTTTAGCATAGAGTAGCACCTGAGAGTATGAAAACAATAGATGATGAGAGATTTGGTAAAGATTTTTTGTGATAAAGATTAGAGCGCATGTGGCTTTATTTTTTTTTTGCTAGGCCATGTCCGATTCTAGGCAAGACGTGAGATTCTGACATTCTGTAGCAAAAGGTAAGATCATACATTTTGCTACATGTTGTCGTGCGCTTAAGGACATGTACAATAATCCAGACAACTATCTATAGGATAATCTCATACTAGTCATATACACAACAATAGACAAGTCACCGTACGAATTGTATGGGAACAATCTAAAATCATCCAATTGCTAAATAACATGTGTTCGCATACAATAGACGTCTATAGTGGTAAAAGTTGTTTATGAGAGATTTCTTTCATGCTCCCATACCATATATTAATCATTTGACGATATCTTTATCTCTCTCCCTTCTATATACGTATTATTAGGTAAAATTATAAGTGGTACCTCCCTATACATGTCCTAAAGAGTGCTTCTAAGTGAGGAGGCACACATTGCAACATTAATCTCAGTGTAATAATGTGACTTCAAATCTTTTTTGGAGATCCTAGTTTTCAATACTTTGGTTTTTGCAGGTTCATCAATATATGCCACGGTGGTACGTCTAACATTTTGCTTCCTAACAGGACGTCAACATGCCTCGTGGCGCAAATCCCAGCTGAAGCATCCTTTCATCGCTAACATACCCCGAAGTCCTCAATAATTACGTCTAGCTCCAAATCACAAAGCCAAACCGCAAAGGCCGGCAAACACAACAGAGACTCTGCACACAATTAATTAAGAAATAACTCACGCCCTTATCTGTAAAAAACAATATAAAGTAACGCAAAACGGACCCCGGTTAAAAATACCGAAAGCATCACGCGATCGAGAAAAAGCACAAGAAAAACCTCGTCTACATTCACATCTAGGCGCCCCTCCTCCTCGCTCCGATCCAGCTCGCCGGCGGCCATGTCGCAGCCGGCGGCGACGGTGGCCGCGGCGGCGCAGCCGCAGGGTCCTGGCCCCGCGGGGCGCCAGGGCGGCGGCGGCGGCCTGGGGCAGAGCATCGCCGGCATCGTGCGGATGGCGGTGTTCTGGTACTTCGCGGCCAAGTTCTTCGGGCCCAAGCGCCCACCCGCGGACCCCGGGATGCTCATGTCCAACCTCTTCCAGAAGGGCGAGCCAATGGTGAGAACGCCCTCAGCCATCTCGCGAAATTTTGGTTTGAAGATGCGTCTTAGGTCTGTTGCGGTTTGCTCGTCAGTGGGTTTAGGTTCTGTAGTGCCGGTAATTTGGTTATTTGCTCTGATGCTAAGGTAATTTTAAGATTTAGTCTGACCTTTCCTTTGGTTGCTGTGATCCGGGAGCTGTATTCGTTAGGGGGTACTCATGGGTGCTGTTCGTAAGAGGAGTTGACTCTTCGTGCATGCAAAGCGTTTTTTTGTTGTTTGAGTTCAAGAGAGATATTTCCGGGTCTAGTGATCACCTCGTATTGGTGCTCTGCATCATCAGCATTCCTTTTATTGTGAGAAAAAGGATAATGCTTTGGGTGTGTTATTGGATCTCAGGAGGCTAAGCTGATAGTTGTTAATGATTTTTCAGAAATAGTATAAACGCTAGAAGTTTTGTGAACTTTGGTCATGACATGCTGGCTGAATTCAGCAAGTTGTGCGAAGATGTAGGTATGGTGCTATTTGTGACTTTGTGTTTGAATTGTTGTTGTAGTGTTTAAGCTAGGGTTTTGACTTTTTAATAATCTGTTCAGGATGGAAGAGTGGTTGTTCGATATGTTTATGCTGGAGTGGAAATTTCTATTAGTTGTTTAGATTAAGTTTGGTGGGTTCAAGGTTGTTTGTTGGATTCTGTGTTCATGATAATGCTGAATGTGGCAAAATATTGAGAATGTAATCAAACACTCCTCTTTTCCTGGGAAGTAATTTTCTGGTACTTTGTATCAACTACGAGTTGAAGACGATACATCGTAATTTAAGTCTCCACAATGGAAGAGATTACCTTGCTCTACACATGATCAAGTTGATTATTTTGTATGCTTGTTGTTTATCTTATTCTCTGATGAAATCCTAAAATAAATGTCGATTAAATGCTGAATATGTTTCAAAGATCAAGAGATCACTTACTTTTGACGTGCCTCACTGGCTTCATCTTTTTGGTAAATCTATTCACCATGCATTTATATTTCCCTTGATGATATGTGATGAATCATATGGCATAAGGTGAAGTGGGGCATTATGGATATTTTTAATGCAGAGACGACGCAGAAGTCTATCAAACTCTGTAATTGTACTATGTGGATTTTGTGCAGAGTTCATTCTTTAGGCCTTCCCTAGATCAGTAGTCATTTTTGAATTGCTAAAGACCAATTGCATGGTGGCTATGCTGCTGCAGGATATGTGGATGTATTTGTCAGAGAACGAGAAGTTCAACGATTTTGCTAATGAGGATGCACTTATTTGGCATGAGGCAAACATACCATATGCAGTCTGGGGACCTACCAGTACTAGAACACGATCATTGACATACTATCCTTCAGAGGTAGACTACTAATTGCAGTAACATTAAACATTATTTCACGCAACTATGGTCTATTTGTTTTGAATTTTGTGTATGTGCTGTTACAGGCTCTCAAGCATAATGGCTCTTTGTATGCTCATGTTTACTTTGCCCGCTCGGGTTACCCTGTGGACCCTACAGATCCAGAATATGAGCAGAAATCTGCATTTGGGAGGACACATCGTATGTGTTATTGTTTTCCAGAATGATCTTCCTTTATACGATCTCATGTACGTATGTAATACTGATTACATTGCACCTGTCATTTAGCTGTTGTGGCATTTTTGCCAAAATCAAAAGCTGGTAAAAAGAAGAGCTTGCTTGGAGATTCAGAAGAGCCTGAAGAGCAAGCACCACCTAAGGTTATTATTTTCATCCTTTGTAGCTCAGTATGTGAACTACCAACTTATGGTATTGCTTGTATCTTCCAAGCTAACAAAATCCTTATTTGATCTGCAGGAGAATAAAGAATTTGAGGATAAAGATGAGGGTCCGACTGAATATATATCTTATTGGAAACCAAATGTAACAATAAATCTTGTTGAAGACTTCACACGGTATTCACAAAATCAAGCTCTGTTTCTAAGTTTGATTATGTTCCTTTCAATATGTTGCGACATTGGCACATGATTTGTACTTCTCACCCTGCTCTTTTTGACAGCTTCAAATAATAGCTATTAAGCATTTTACCTTGCCTTGTTACTTGCCATGAAGTACTAAATTGGACCTATGCCTCATTGACACTCCTGTTATAAAGTTGCCAGTTTGTGACAAAACACTTTGAGTTTCCAGTGTAACATTTATTTTAAACAAGATCGATGTTATTACAATGAATCAGAATTGCTGAATCAAGAGTTTGTATAACCTGTGAACTTTTATGAGGGCTACTTACAACCCTCGTCCAATTTGATATAAAAACTGTTTGCATCATATGGTAATCACAAGCTGATACTGCTAAGCCTAAATGATATTATGGTTAAATTCAAGGTTCCGCTCTGGTTATATTGACATTTAGATGAAACTACATGAGTTTTTCCTCCTAAGAGCTTTAGGTTTTGCAACACAGCCACTTTAGTATATGTTTTTTCTTGATCATATGACAAGACTTTGTTGTTATTGTTGTTGTATAGCATCAGCTTTGCTGTTTATGCGTCCTCTTTGTTCTGTACATCCTCTCTACGTTATGTGTTCTCTACGTATGATTGACATTGCCCCATTCATACTTTACAGGTATCCCAACAATAATGTACCTCCCAACGTCGCTCCATGTATCCTTCAACTGTAACAGATAGTAACATATATTGTTTTTGTTTTGTGACGGTTCCACTTTTACACTTACAACATACATATACTTCACATTTAGTTGTGGTTACTGGCTTACTGTCTTTTTTCTTCAAAAAATGCGCTGTTCAAATCCAATTATGCTGAAAAGCCTGGAATATAGAAAAGTTACATGCTTTTGGCGAGAATGGTTTTGGTTTTCCTTTACAATAGATTGACAGATCTGAATGTGGATCCAGCCACGGGCGATTATTATCCTACAGTATTCTTCAACGAGTTTTGGCTACTGAGGGATAAATTAATAGCGCTTAATGAGACTCTGGAGGAATTGCCTTTAAACCTTGAAGTTGGTCCTATTAGCATGACCAAGTGGCAATTGTTTTTACAGATTGAGCAGTCCTTCCAGGTTCATCGTAGTTATGGAAGTATGCTTGAAGGCGAGGCTGATGAACTCAAGGTATACAAGTGTGTATACTCAAAAGTGCATTTAGTTAAACACAACATTTATGGATATCTTGGGACCAACTCCTTTGCAGTCTTTCATCTTGTAAATTATGTACTTGTAGTTTGTATTCTTGAGATGCGGTTTCTGTCCTTATTGTTTTACTGTGTCTATCAGCTGCTGACTCTTTTCTTATATTTGTATTGCAGAGGGTTTTCCTTGAAGGAAATCCTTATCTTCTTGGATTGACTATGGTCGTTTCTCTATTACACTCTCTGTTTGATTTCCTGGCCTTCAAAAATGGTATGTACAACATATAGTTTTTTCTAATAGAATGTATAGTAAGATGTGTTATGCATCAATAACAAGTTATTACAAACAACTTTCTTATATCTTTGTTTTCAGATATCCAGTTCTGGAACAAGAACAAGTCCATGGAAGGTCTATCGGCAAAATCTGTTGTTCTGAATTTTGTGTGTCAACTAGTTGTTTTCCTGTACCTTCTTGACAATGACACTTCATGGATGATCCTTGCTAGCTCTGGAATTGGTGTGTGCATTGAATTTTGGAAGATCGGAAAGGCGATGCATATTGAGGTAAAAACTGCATCACTCTTACCCCTTGTATTTATTGTTCAAAGTAGACCTTGTGATTTTCACCTGAAATTTAAATATTTTTACAATCATAATCAAGGTCATAAACATATGAAAGATTTCTAGTGTTATTTATCACTTTGAATTTGTTTTATTTGCTCCATTATTGTTCACTTACAGTACCAGTTAGTGTGTCATGCTGCATTTTCAAGTTCACAGTTTTACTTCATGCTTAACTACTGTCACCATTGACCCCTTGATGTGTTTTTGATATCCAGATTGTTGAAGTTTTCTATGTGTATATACTTTGTTATAACTTGTTCTTTGTTGGTATAGATATATATTTCTTCTATATGATGAGATTGTTGATCTAGAATAGAATTATACTTGATGGTTTACCTTTAGTACACTAAATGAAAGATTGCTTTCATGGTGTCCAGGTCGATAGAAGTGGAAAAATTCCCATGTTGAGGTTCCGAGACCGTGAATCATATGCACAGAATAAGACCAAAGAGTACGATGCCATTGCAATGAAGTACCTTACCTATGTCCTTTTCCTCCTTGTGATCGGTTTCTCTATCTATTCACTTAAGTATGAAAAGCACAAGAGCTGGTACTCATGGATACTTTCTTCCATGACAAGTTGTGTGTACATGTTTGGTAAGCAACTATTCCACTATCACCAGTTTATTTGATGCGATGATCTGCGTTAGTTGTAGAGCTTATATAATTAAAGCTTCCATTCTTTAGGTTTCATTATGATGTGCCCCCAATTATTTATCAACTACAAGCTGCAGTCCGTTGCTCATATGCCATGGAGACAAATGACCTACAAGTTCCTCAACACTATAATTGATGACCTTTTTGCATTTGTCATTAAAATGCCAATGCTTCATCGTCTCTCAGTTTTCAGAGATGGTAAGATGAACTATCACTTTTTTGGGTCAAATAACTGCTGGTTACAGCAGGGAAACCATCCTGTTCTTTGAACATGCCATTCATGTTCTTTTAATCTTTTTGTAGACTTCTAATTGACTGCTCTCTGACTTGTGTGTCTGCAGATGTTATCTTCTTGATATACCTCTATCAGAGGTGGAAATATCCGGTTGACAAGAAGCGTGTCAATGAGTTTGGCTTCGGAGGCGTGGATGAACCCGCAGCCCAGGAGACTTTGGAAGGAAGTGATTCAGCAGCAGCAGCAGCAGCAGCCCAGCCAACGGAGGCTGAGGTCGAGACGAGTAGGGAGGACAAGAAAACCAAGTGATCTCCAATCTTTGGATCATCCAAATATAGCACACCTCTCAGCAACACCTGCCCTCCCAGCGGGCGTGAAATTTCTTTGCTGAACTGGATGCTGGACTCTTGGTGTTGCCTTACTGAGATGCTGACCATAAGATAAGATGTGTAACAGAGGGGACACAATAGTCTTTGCCTAGGGGCAGGCGAACAGGCACACTATCACAATTACGTTTGCAGTTTGTCTTTTATCAGCCATTACTAGGTGATATGCTTGTTTGATTGGTTTTTGTACAATTTTGTGCATTTTTTTCGTAAAATACATAATTGGTTGTTCGTAGTCTCGTCGTGACATGCTTTGCCCTAATAGTGTTGCAACGAGTGTCCACAAATGAGTGCAGTACATTAAGGGTACGGTTCTAAACTGTTCCCCACAAGAAACAATTGGATCCCTGCCAAACCAAAATTATTTCTGGAGAAACATGAGAATCGTTGCTAACCAATTGCTAGATCTAGGCCTTATTTGGTTGACAGAAGAATTGGTTCTGATTCTTGCTAAGGGATTCAAGTGGGTTGGCTTGCGAATTCGAAAATAGGTTTAATAGATAGGTAACTCACAAAATGAAGCACATCTGCAGGTGGGTTATCTTAGGTAACTAACAAAAAAAGAAGCTTATCTACATGTCCGTGGACAGACCTGCTTGCATTGCATCCTTGTTAGTTTCAGGAGAATCGTTTTGGGTGAAGCGGCTGTCCACGGAACATCAGAAACATATTTATCTGTTTTGAATGAATTAGAAGAAACATTAGTTTGCAGCTGCATGTACAGTGTTTCATATAGAGAGGAAAAAAGACTGCTGCAAACTACTGCAGCCGAACACAGTTATTTCTCTGTGTTTTGAACTAGAAAAAAGCATTTTTCAGTTTTGAACTAGAAGAATTATTTCTCTTTGTTTTGAAGTAGAAAGAAACATTTATCTGTTTTGAACTAGAAGAAACAGTTCTCTCTGTTTTGAACTAGAAGAAAATATTTCTCTGTTTTGAACTGGGAAGGAGAATCACCCAAATACTTGTGCTAAGCGAGATTTATGGATTCAGCCGAGAAATTGATAAATTTGTTTGGATCTCTACCAAACGCATGGGGCGTTCCTTGGATTCACTTGTTGGGAATAATAAGAAGCCAGACAAACCTGATTTACCTAAGGGTCCGTTTGGATCTTTTCATTCTAGAAGAATTGAAATATACATAATGAATTAGGTTATTTGGTTTGGAATTTGATATTCCATAACATTTCTAAGCTCACAAATAAGCCTATCTTAAATTTATAGGGTGAAAAATGAAAATGGATTCTATAAATCACTGTGCTATAATTCTATTCTCCAACTTATAGCATACTCTTCAACTCACTTCCCTACGATAAAAATGCAACATATAAGTATGTCCCTTGTATGCATAACAAAAAAAAATATACAAATATATTACATATACAACTATATCAGCTTAATTAATCGATGTCTAAATTATAATTATTAGAATGAATTCAATTCCTAGTTCCAAATGGCCCTAAGAAGAGTCAGAATCAGTTTCTGTCGTAGTGACTGCACCACAGTGAACCTGCACGGCCGATGTGGACCCGGATTGAGAATCGACGAATTTGTGGACGGGAATTCGTGGTGAAGTGACCCATTGGTTAACTTGGTGGTGCAAGTGCAAAAGCGAATTTAGCCCTGGATTCATACAGTGAGATTCACTAGGCTCGGGGTTACTTCAGGTGCAGTAAAAAGATTTCGGAGAAGCTTGTTCTAGACACTGTATGATTGATTTCAAACCTCGCATGATGGTCTGCACTGATGACCACCTAAAAAAAGAAGCAGGACGATATGGACCAAAGATTCGCGACGAAGCGATGCCGCCCGTGATGCATGCATGATGGCCTCGATCGACGACGCTGGCTCGCGCCCATGCCCCGCTGCCGCTCCGTCCTCGGACATGCCGACGCGGCCTCCTCCTCCCCTCCGCATCGCCGCTCGCATTTGCATGGTTCCCATCGACAAAATTCTCGGGGAGTGCCCGGTCCTGTTCGAGGAAGGTGCAGTGCACCCACGATGTGCAATGTCTGCCAGAGATTCAGAGGGACGTGGAGAAGCAAAAGAGAAGTTGCTGCTGGCACGAGAGACCGCGGCACACTTTGTGGGTTTGGGTACTAACGACAGACTACGCGATCGTGAGCATCAGCGATTCAGCGAGATCTCTTATCGTTCTACGCGGGGCTCAATGAGGGACGGATTGATTGCATGGTAACCAGAAAATGCTGTCACCACGAAAACTTTCCTGAGGCACCACGTATTTAGCCGTTTCTGTATCGACACCAGCATTGAAATGAGATCCTCTGCACTCGATACATCTGATCGGTGGGAGTGGGGCTGATGCTTCCACATGCCAGTGACCCACCAGAATTTTTCCTCTTCTCGAAAGGACGCCGGGCCTCACATCAACATGATCCCTAGCACGCAAATAAAATCTGCATGAGCGATCAATCTAAAAGATCGAATAGATTCGCCGATTAAGACTGAGAAAAAGCCGCAAACTGTGAAACGCAAGATACTGCAAGCTATCAGGAGATGATACAAAAGAAAAAAAAGAAGAAATGATTGATGGCTGATGCTACTCCCTGCTTTCTAATTTACAGGTCGTTTTGATTTTGGTAGATATAGAAAACTGTTATTATGTATATAGAAAACCGAAACGGCCTATAATTTAGGACAGAGGATGGCATTAGATACTACAGCTACAGTTTGAGCCCCGAAATGCTTTCTTCTGCAACTTGAAACGAAATGTTCAGATTCCGAGCATCTCTGGATAGACTTTTTTTTTCGAGGCTCTAGATGGACCTGAGGCGTCAACAGATAACGGATTCAACAATGCTGCACCCTCACTGGCTACTGCCACGGGGTAGGCGTCAAATCCGTCCTGATATCTCACTGTTCGCCCGTCAAATATGCCGGATTCCATCGCCACCACCAACAATACCACACACTGGTTTTTCGTCGCTCCAAAAGATGACAGGCAGTACTGCAGTAGGCAAAATCAGGGCACCCATGAGACCACAAGTGGGCTCTCAAAGCCCTCAACAACCTCAATCCTCAACCATTCATGGCAGTCCAAGAGCCAGTCGGCTCTCCAAGTCCACATTGTCATGCTAGGTTTGGAAAAATCCTGTGCCAGGGCAGAAAGGAAGAGACTTTGCCCTTCCAGCACTAGCATTCTGTAGCAGCGACCCTCATAACCCCATCCGAATCTATCGCGACTCCCGACGGCCCTTCTTCTCCGACCCACGGCACACCGGCGGCGCGCGCCCCAATCCGCGGGCACGGCACCCGAACTCGACCCGTACTCCCCGTTCCGATGCCGTCCCACCGCCTCACCCTCGATTATTTTTTTCAGCCTTTTTTTTTAAAGATTTTCACAAATACACTCTTGGCAGTATCCTTTCAAAAAATAGACCTGGACTTCGGCGCCGTGATAATTGGTGTCGAGCTTACATGAGGTCAAGGGTCATTTTCTACGTGTCTTTGATGTGGGTGCTTGTGTGGCGCGGACTAGACATGAGCTCGGCGCCGTGCATCTTGGCGCCGAGCCGGAGGGTCGAGACATTAATCGGCATCGCGGCGTCAACACCACCCATTCTCCATCTTCCTCCAGACTCCAGCCACGTCTCGCGGGAGTCGCACCGCGGTCTTCCCTTCCCCTACCCGAGGTTTGATGGCGCCCGGGTCGTTCTGCTCTGCGCCTCTGCCACAGGCCGTCGGAGGTCCTAGGAGGGCAGCGGCGGCGTGGGGTGGTTTGCCGGCACACGAGGGAGGGTCGCGCAGCCTATCCACGGATCCCGACGCGGCCGCCCGCCATCTGTGCCCCCGCATCCCTATGCCGCGTTCGCAGGCCCGCGGATCTGCACGGCCCGTGCTCTGCCGCGCCGCAGCCCCGCGTGCGCCGTAATGCACGTCCGCGCCGTCGCTCCACCGTGCAGCAGCCTGTCAGCGGCTCCTGGCGCCGCCGCCCACCTCGCTACAATGGAGATAGATTGGGCTCTACCCGAAATCCGGCCTAACGCCGCCACCATGTGCTTCGGGTCCGGCAGCTCAGTCACCCTCCAGCTCCACGTCCCGGGCAGGTGCGTGTGCAACTCCTGCGCCGCCTCTCCGGGACGAGAGCTGGCCGAGCGCAGCTGTGACGCGGCCGCCGCATGCTCTGCTCTGCCTCTGCTGCTAGCTTGATGATGTCACCATGACATCATGACTATGCCATATACACATAGGAATTTCACAGAATATATAGTTAAAAAGATCATACTAGTAGTTGCATAAAAATTAATACTCCTACATTACTGTTTGATCACTTAAAGTAGTAGTTAAAACGCAGTTCATCTGAAATTGAATATTTAGTGAAATTTAACAAGATTTTTCTCACGACTTATAGTGAACAATAAATAGATGTCACGGCTGATGTAACAGTTACCAAGACTGAAGTTAAATGTTGCTCCAATATGTGACGACAGAAACTAAATAGATTTTAGTGGTCCGTGCTTAAGGGTTCATACATATATGGTTAGATGGACAAATGCTCCTGATGAATAAGAAACCAGCATTGCATATATATATATATATATATATATATGGAGAGTATATTCAGTAGCCAACTACAGAATAAGTTATTCTGTAGCCATCTCCATCTACGATAATTTTATATAATAATTTACGATAGTTGGGTTACTATAACACATGAGGATATTTACTATAACGCTATAGTAAACCACTTAGTAAGGAGTTACTATAATATCGTAAATTAACATAGTAATTATCGTAACTCAAAGTAGCTATAGAATAAGTTATTTTGTAGCCAACTGCATGGTAATAGTTATATATATATATATATATATATATATATATATATATATATATATATATATATATATATATATATATATATATATATATATATATATATATATATATATATATATATATATA